AAGACGCTCGAAAATGAACCCAGAAGTGGTAAAACTGCTCGTGTGGACGGGCTTTGCTGTGAATTTGGCTGATTTTTTGTATCTTTTCAAGGGCTTTTGCGGGCTTTCATTTGCTGGCTGGTAACCGTTAATGCGTGAGTGATTCTCGACCACAAGCCGCGCGGCTGTAGGCGCCGCCTGGCAGTGCCCCCACCTCATCAAAACGCACACCTGTAGGCTGACTAACCCGGCCTCGGCTTTCAGAAACTGAGCCGTTTCCAATAAATCACTACTCGCTCGAACGGAATTCCCTTTTCTGACAAAAATCCAAGCAAACAAACTAAAATACCCACTGCTCCCAGCAAAATTAAGAAGTGTTACAGACATGCTGGCACTTTACTTATTTTTTAAATGATAATTTTTTGCTGTTAATGCACATTTATATGTCTGCACTAATTGTAAATAATCTTCTATTCTCAATGCTTCAGTAAACATAGACATTATGTACATTTTTGCTGATGATGCACCTGAATTCCCCTCCTTTTCTGGACAATAAAGGCTTCCTATAATCCATTTTATTCTAAAAGTGTCAGGCGGGTGGCTCTCAAGGTGGATTCAGATGCGGGGGGTGAGGTTCAAAAGGGTTTTAATGAACAAAAACGCACTGGATGGCCAGACAAAGTTCAAACAAGGCAGATAAAACTATGAGCAAAGTATCAAAGCAAGATTAAAAATAAAAAACTCTTACGAGGCGTGAACAAGACGGGAAGGAAAAGACGAAAGCACAAAAGACACAAAACACACAAGGGGAAACGAGGACTATTTAAACACATGAGGGAAGGGAACCCCAGGTGTACACAATAGGTGATCAACAAGACACGACAACACACCAGAAATTCCCCCAGACGTGACAAACAGTTTGTGCTAAAAAAGCGATAGTGGTTGAATTCTAAGCCGGAGTCTTTTAGGCGAAATGGCCCCCAGGTTACAGAAACAGTGCATTCATCTCTCCACTCGGGCTGGGTGTGAGAACTGTTTGACACCTCTCTGCGGTCAGCTAAAGGCGCAACGCAAAAGTAAAAAATGGACTGCAGAGTGTGACCCCCCCCCCCCACTCACAACAGATGGCTGTTAGCCACCTGAACGAGGTCAAAAATTCAGCTTCTCCCCTCTTTTAAACTCAGTTTTTAATGAAAACATCCTCCCCAACGTGAGCCAAAGAAAGAGTCCGATCCCAAAAGGCCGGTGTGCTGACGGCTCTCTCTATAAAACGCCAGATCGGAGGTCGGATTTCAGCCCACGCTCGCCTCCCACACACGCACACACACACACACACACACACACACACACACACGCTCACACACACACAATAAAACTCTGTACTTGATCAATCCACTTGCACGAGCCTTTCATCAATGCTGCGTTGGCATGATCGCACCCCTCCCACGCACTGTAGTGTACACTGTACAGCGTGTGCACGCAGCCACTCGCAACCAGCTCAGAAAAAGGAAACAAAAATATGCACCAGAGAGGAGACGCATGCAGAGAAATGTGTTCAGTATTTTTAGTCGTACGCACGCGAATAATAATAATGATAATGATAATACATTTTATTTTTAAAAAGCGCCTAT